CCCGTACCCGTACCCGTACCCGTACCCGACAAATTTTTTATTTTTTATTTTTTTTTAAAAAAATATAATATTTTTAAATTATTTTTTTAATTATATTATAATTATAATTAGGTTATTTCTTTATCTCATATTATAATAAATAATCACACATAAAAAAATATTAAAATTCTTTAATAAAATTAAATTGAAAGTGGGTATTAAATTAAAAATTGGAACGGGGACGGGTACGGGGCGGGTAAGTACATACTCGTACCCGTACCCGTACCCTATTTAATATATCGGGTTTTACCCGTACCCGTACCCATACCCAGTCAAACCGGGTATTCCCCGTCAAATTCGGGACGGGTTCGGGTATTACTCGCGGGTACGGGTATATTTGCCATCCCTAGTTGGGAGTAACTATCATATGAACTGTCGCAAAATTGAAGTGGTGACGATTTCACAATAACTGTCACAATTTGTCCATCGCAATTCATCCTTTTTCTTATAGTGTAGTGTTTTAAATCTAACTAAGAATCCTACTTGCATTCTAGAACTAAACATACAGAGATCAAACATCATTTTCTTAAAGATCATGTTCAAAAAGGTGATTGCATAGTGGAGTTTATAAAAACAAGTAGACAATTGGCTGAAATATTCATTATGCCTTTACCTTGAGATAGATTTAATCTTCTTAAATGAACTAGGAATTTTGAGTGAAGCATGCTTATATTGAGTAATGAATTGTATGAGATATGTTTATATTGTTTGTATCTTGATATGCAAAATGAGTGAGATAAATAATTGAGTTGAATGATTAATGTGAGCATGCTTCTGTGTGAAAATGTATGTTGATGTGTTAAGTTTTTCAAAATTGACTATTCCTTACTAAAATAATCAATTAAATTGTTTTAATTAATTATTTCAAGCATGTGAATACATGTATGTCTGGAATAACTAATTAAACGTGTAATTGTGAAGTTTGCATTGTTTGTGGGTTCTTGTGGAAATCCTAAATGGTTATTGTGTGAGTAGTTAATAAGGGATGTAATTAGAATGTGAAATTGATGTTGTATTTGAGAAATTGATGGTATAATAAAGTAGTATTAGGCTTTAATCTATGTTTTTATGATTGGATTGAGAGAAAAGAGTTTGGGTGTGAGTTGTGTCTTGTTTTGAATATTTTGGTATGAATATACTTTGGTATTTATGATTTCCCTGTGTGTGATTAATAAAATTGAGTTTTAATTGTTAGGTTAGAGATTAGACATTTAGGGCTACAGTTTAGACTCACGATAAAAGAAATGATGTTTTGCACCAAATGTATGTCTAGAAATGCAAGAATGTAAATTCAAGTATGCGGCAAGAAGTTTTATAATCACAATACCACATGCAATACATCCACTTGTGACCTACATCCAATCCTCAATCAACTAAATTGAGATTTTCCACTAATCTTTAATGTTAGAAGTTTTATAATCACAATAACACATGCAATATACTTCTACACTATTAAAGAAACCACTTCTTGAACCCCAAGAAGCACCTACTTGTAGCACCCCCACTACAAGATTCTTTCTTCTTAAGAAACCTACTCAAGAAAAAAACTAATACAAGGAATTAAGGAACAAATTCACCTGATGTATATAATAGATTAGAAAAGATGAATCAACCATGTAGCTTAACCTTTCACTCTATTAAGATGATAATCAACTCAATTCTTAAAAACTTTGTTGAGGTTACCACAAAGGTCAAAGAACCTCTTCTTGCAAAGAGAAATGTGTTATAGAGAGAGTTTTTTTTGTAAAAGATATCAAAAAGATTCAAAAGTGATAGTACACTAGCCCCCCGAGCTCCGAAGATTGTAGGTCGAGGAGTTAAGACTGAGCTCGTCGAGATCCATTTAAGCGCCGAGCTGACGCCACGTGGCACGTTAATGGAAGTGACGGTTATGTAATGATGGTTTGCGTTTGTCATGATGGTTTTCCATTAATGTGTCGTCAGACGTGCCCCTTGGCTGACACGTGGCGTGACCGTTTTGAATTTGGGAGAAACCCTTATTTTCTCTCACTCACGCCTCTTGGCTTCTTGCGCAAGCTACTTTGTGCACCTTCGCTTCCGTCCAGTCTCCGACGCTGTTTTCACAGTTTCCGCCGCCGTTTTCGGTAACCCCGTCACTATTAGGGTTGTTTTGTGAGGAAGAGTACCAGGTACTTCCTTTCTACAGTTTCCTTTTTTCTTTTCCCCAGATCTTCTTTTTCCTTAATGGCTGGTGGAAGTGATGTCGGTTCTTCTGTGCCTGCCAGGGGCAAGGCGCGCGGCAAGGCGGCGACTACCGAGAAAGCCATTGTCGAGAAGAAGGACACACCTCCGCCCAAGGGCCTGGAGCCAGGCATCCCTGGTTACGACTGGGTCAGGCGTGAAATGGCGGGGGTCCAGAGCATTTTTCGCTCCTTTCTTGAGGTTAATGGGATCTCGAGGTTGTGTAGGGTTTGTGACCCTTCCATTTCCCGGATGATCCGGCTTGAACCCTGTCAGGTCGGTGAGGGCGTGTACATGGGGAAGTCTACCGACCCTCCCCATTTCTATATGTACCACTATTTTTTTAGGGATTTAGGTGTCTG